GGGATAAAATAATGTCGCATCATTGTGTAACCTTGAAGAGAAAGCAAATTAGTTTCATTACTGTTTGCGTCACGTAAATGAATATATTTATCTCATTTTATTTCGTCAGCAAAACAAAGAAGTCCAGGTAATCTCACTCGTTTATCACTCGAGTGAGAAATCTCAGGTGAGGCGAAGCGACATTGCCCGCTAATTCTACATGATCCCTTGATCCGAATAAATTGTCGACAGGCGTTCAACGCCCACAGATCGCATCGTCAGAAGAATTCGCCAAGAAACGACAGCGAAACCAAGGGGCTTATCGGTTTATTCACGAAAATAAGAGTAAAACGCCTCACCGATATTAATAGCAGCACTCACGTTGCGTAGATACCGTATTTGTTGCTATGGAAATTAATGTAGGCGTTTCATGATGGTAATTGGTATTTACGAAGTACTTAATTTTTTTCATGTTTACGTTGTATAACGTACTCGTTAATTTGTTTCCAGCGAGTTTTTGATTGAAATGTGAAATCGAAACGTTTAATTAATTTGATAATTTATTTTCGAGGCAGTTTACATGCACGTGAATTAATTTTCTTTTTTCTAGTTCCTTGTCAATTAGTTTCTAAACTGATAGTGCTAATTTAATCTTATCTTTCACCTAGTTTATTTCTGAAAAATGGTTACAGTTAGCCTTCTTATTTTGACAGATGTGCACATAAGCGCTTTAAAGCGGCTTCCTTGTGGGGGCAGAACTGTAAACATTGAGGAGTGCGTGCCCTCAGCCGTAATCCTAAAGCCTGAGAAATCGCGGAGGCTTTGGCCTCTTTTCAACACGTCTTCGACTGTTGGCGCAAGTCAAAAGCGGCGCGGAAAAAATCTTGATCGGTCAAGAAATCTTGATGTTATGTTTTTAGACAAGCTACATTCTGTGATTTCTTAAGTCTAATCTTAACTTCGAACTTCTCCTATGTTCTTCTGATTAATTCTTTACGGGCCCAATGACAGTTAACTTTCTCCCGGGACAAAACTTGACCTTTACTGTTTTTATTAGCGGTCAAGCTGTAGATTCTGGCTATAAAGGAGTGGCAGCAGTGGGAACGAGAGGTGGGAATAGTCCCGTTTTTGACGTTATTGTTATTGAATAAAAAGTGAGCTGGCAAAGTGTGTCTCATAGCTCAATCGGAATGACGAGTTGTTCTGCTTCTGAGACTCAATGTGAATCTACACTACGTATGTCCCAGTACTCCCGGCTGGGATTCGAATCCAGAACTACTAAGATGAGAAAAACCAACTCTTACGACGCCGTAAAGGGGCGAACCTTTTTTTTATGAAATTATACTTCTTCTTCTTCCTCGGTCCCTCACTGATGAGGTCATAAGCTGTGTGGACCGCATAAAATTATACAGGAGAGTAAAAAAACGACATAGAGCCTAAAGAATGGAGCATTTCTGTATACAATAAAATTTTTGACCGTTTGTATGATGTTCGCCCCTTTGCGGCGTAGGCAACGAATTGTACAATAGTCCCCAGTATCCGCTACCTGCTATGACTTAACCCGCCACGCCATTCGGATAATGCAGATTGATTCGGCTCAACACTGAGGAGACAAATTCGATTTGCGATCTGCGCGAGGTATGAGACTGCAGACGCACGTCGTTTGTCTCCGCTTATTACACCAACTTCGTGGCTTGTGAGATTTTTCATAGAAATTCTTGTTTTGATCTGAGATTTTTAAGCGTTGCTTTGCGACTGAGATAAAAAGCTAAATAAAAAAGAACATGTAGAGCCTACTATGACAAAGTCCAAAACAGAGCGTACTTAAAAATAAGTGACTAGATTTCTGATAAATCTACTCAAATTATTTCCATTTTAATGTCCTTAAGGACGTTCATGACCTCAATTATACTTAAATGTCTCTTTAGATAGGGTTCGTCAGACTAACGAAACGTTCAGGCAGGATTCGAATCTGCAACTACAGTAGTGTATTTATGTAGCATAATATATTACAAAAACTTACATGAGTGAGTACCACAGTGTTACCTTGATGTGTTCCGTACGTTACATTAAATATCTTTTCTTTATCCCAGTAGACCCACAACTGATCCTTGCAAGACGCTTACGAAATATCTTAATTTTATACGTTATCCAAAGCCTCATTGCGAACCCCGTGCCCTAATAGGGCCTTGTTATTCCCGCCACGTCGCGGCCGTAATGCGACCCGATGGCGTTTTTAAAAAACAAAACGGCTCACTACCCTCAAACGTAGGTAGTTTGGCTTCCGATAAGAACAGGGCCCGATTCTAATGTAGTTAGATCTAAGGGTTGCCAACCTTTAAAGTTGAAGTTTTAAGTTTGAAATCTATATCTTTAAGGTTCGACTGTTTTAAGATGTATGTGCTATGTACTACTCGTATTAGATAGCCATCGGTTCCATTTTCTGAACATTTTTTTTTAGATTTTTTGTCGTTGGATTTTTATGTCACTAAATCCAGTCCTGTTCTGAAATAAAACCAAATCTATAAGTCCCAGTTCGGATGCGGCCAGCGTGGGTGGTGCAGTGCATTTTCCTCTATTATTTCGGGAGTGTGGCTTAAGCTGCCGGCACTTGGTTTGGGACTTCGATTCACCTTATAACGGTTCGGAGACAAGGAATAAATCTTTTTAGTGGTTGATAGTGTAAGCAGGGTCGCATTGTTTTGGATTGGCAACCGTTTTTGGACTGGGGTTGGTGTGAAATGGTTTAGTCTCATTTTGTTGACGTGTTCAGATAGTAACATACTCGTTAGATTTGTTCTTCTTATTCTATCATGTGGAAGGAGACATCAATGATTCTAATCAGATTTAGAACTTTTATTGAATTATTTTTTAATTATTTTGATCTCAAGATCTATTTGTAGTTTGAGTCAAGTTTTGAGCGTCATTTCTTATATGCCAATGATTTTATACAATAGACTTACCTATGGTACGTCTGAGAATCAAACCCAGAAATTTGTGTCAAGAGAGTTCAACTTTCTAACTACTTGAACAAGGCGTTATAACTTTAATTAAAGTTGATAGTAGGATTATGTTAACGGGACTACCTATTAGTAATTTGTGCAATAAGTACAAATTGCTAATCATCATCATCATCATCATTTCAGCCATAGGCTAATAAATCTAAAAAAAAAAATGTGGAGCGTTCACACTAATTTCAAGATAATCAATAAGGCGTGGATCGAGGCGTGGAAGATTCGATTTCTGAAATGACTTTTTGAGCGCGGTTTTAGAATACGAGCTGTGACGCTGTAAATTCAATCAATATTTTCGGGATTACTTTCCATCTCCATAACTTTATGCGCGTAGCTTTCCTCACACACAAACTTTCCCCATGAGTCACAGAAATGAAACAACGTCGAAACAAATGGTTTTTCGGTCTCGCTATTGTTATTTCCTGGTTTTCGTTGCATCTCACGTAGCTCATACATAACACCATAAAGACAAAATCCGCTTCGTTTAATGTCTCTTTTGTTCTAGCTATAAGGTCTATTTTGGCTTGTCGTTTGTGGCGATCGGTACTATAGGCGGGGCGGTGTTTCGTCTTCCCATCACGTCCTGGGTTCGACTCCGACCTGGTATTATTTTTATCCGCATTTTGTACTTATTGCGGCGGCATTGTGTGACAGAGGCGCGTTATTAAATGTAGCCTGTCTGCTCATTTAGGCTTTTATTTATGTGTAGTATAGTAGGTGGAGGAAAATAAGGGTTGAAATATGAGCCGGTCAGTTCGTCTAAGTGATGTATGTTCGATATTATTGTATTTTATTGTTGTTCAAAATTTCCTATTTACAATAGTTATGTCACAAAAATTTTGGCGTCAATTTTATAAACTCCTAATTATTAGTTTTAGTTCAGTAACTTACCTATTAACCTGATTGACGCCTGATTACCATCAGGTGAGATGCAGGCTCCCAGGTAGATTTTCCCCGTTGTGGTTAAAATAAATACTACAATTCTAAAGTAGTTTTTAACAGAAAATTCAAGTGTTATTTTTATAGATAGGTATTATCTTTTGGATTGGAATACTTATATCCGTCGTTTCTAACAGCACCAATTTCCTTGTAGTGAAATTATATTCTCCAAAATGTATTTTTTAATCTGCAAATTCGCTACTTAATCAGCGGGGTCTGCTCGTAAATCGCCGTTAATCCTAACCCTAAACCCCATCGATTTCCCCTTGCAATGTAAAAAACATAAAAAAGAAATCTTTTTAGCACTCGATAAGCGTTATGGGCTAAGCAGCTGCCACTTTAACAAATTATTTGAAGATTTCCCCAAAAAAAGTTGTCACCCCCAAAAGAGGGTAAAATGTCGTATTTGATAGCTTGATTTTCGTGGGGCGTACATAGAATGCTAAATTACAGGCGAAATGAAAGATAATAGGAGCCCCTCTTAAAGGAAAAGTTATTCCAGTTTCTTCCAGTTTTCATGAAGGGAAAAAAGTTTATATCCCCAAAGATTCTGAGATTCGACCCCTAGGGCGATGGGAAGTTGGAGTTTCGTTTTATTTATTCATGGTTTCAGCTATAAACGCTTAGTTATGCTCAGTTTTATACTCTTCCGAGCGAATTTAAACTTTAACAGCATTGTTTTGCTTAGTGAGATGAATTACTGCCTTTGCTTGTACATTTTAGTTTCTACTGTTACGGCTATACGGTAGAGTTCTTTATGGTTTACATTTAGGTATATTGATATTCTATTCTATTTACAATTATGATTATCCTTGCAGAAGTTAAAGGTACATTTGAATAATTATTGTAAAAACTGGGTATCTCTACAAAAGATGTAATATGTCACCGTAAAATTGTGAATTCCGTCAGATTATAATCTGACGTAGTTAAATTACAATCTAACCTAACCTAACCCACTGTTAGTTTACAATCTAATGCGTTATATTATAAACTGACAGAGTTCACGATTTCACGTTGACATATAAAAATGAAACAATTCGTTGTTTGAAATTGAACAATTTATTGTGAACTAATACGAACGCATAGTAGAATTTAGGATATATATTTATAATATTAATTGTATAATAACAGAACATCGACATTATAAAGCGATAACCGATCCACCAACATTCAATAAAGCCATAATGATTGCAATCAAGTAGATAGTTATGTACAACGGACTCGCCGAAAACGAGTGGGAACGTTCAATAGTTACATTATCAAAATATTAAAGCTATGTAAAACATGGCCAATGAGACAACAGTCTTATTACTAACGAGTTCAAGTCGATAATATGTTGACCTCACTCCAATCGCTTTCGAAATGTAAAAGATATAAAGCTCTAAAGATATTTAGGAAAAATATTCAAGTGACGAAGTTCCGGAAAGCGATTGAGTGAGAATCGAATAACTTCAAGAAAATGAGGTTAGTTCCAGTTAAGATAGTTTAGAAAATAGAGCGATTATTCCACGATATGGCGAAGTCAGGATGGGGAAGACAGGGGAAGACTTATAATCTCAATTTTTGGGTTTTAACGTATACTTATAAACTACAACAACTCCAGTGTAGTTACAAAGTTTTACAAAATTAAGTGAAACAGTTTTGTTCGTTAGTGACAGTATAAAAGTACAAAATGAGCAAGATAGTCAACAAGGGCATTGGGCAAGTTCCTTTGGAGCAATGGCGTTTTTAGTGGTCTGTAATTTGTGTTACTCTTGTAGCATCATCATGAAGAAACAATTTATCTGATCTAGTTTTAAGTCAGTGCATTTAAAAATACCGCCAACTTACCCAGACCCATTTGCAGTTCGTTACATAACAGACGTTTAACTTTACAAAAGTGTTTAGATAACCTAGTCTTCACTAAGTAACGCTAAATAGTTTGGAGCACAGATACTAGAAGCTTCTTTAAGTTTAGAAAAATACAATGGTAACCTCATTGGATTAGCGCCAATGCCAAAGCTATTATAAACACGAGTATATCTAGAGTACAAAAACAGTCTCCAGATTAAATTCGGTAACGTAGCTTAATGATACGTAAACATTACTTAGCATTTTATATTTTCATACAGATGTTGTGATAGTGGTTTTATAGACTACTTAAAAGTCACTAATTTCAGGATCAGTGTCGGCGTATTTGCAAGTGAAAGGGTTCCTTAGCCAAGAGCAAAAAGATCTATCACTGTGCTGCTTATACTTAGCCGTAGTGTGTTTCTTTGCGTGCGCCCGCGCCACTGCGGCTCTCCGCGTTGGATATGAGTCTAGGGAAGACGCGTCAGAGTCTCTGGGAACAGAGTCGTAACCAGATTCAGCACGCCGAGACGTCCCCGCAGGACTATGTTTCCCAGTGCGAGGTGTGGACTCATGACCACTATCGTATCCGTCAGGCTTAGAGCTTGCCACGACTCTTGCTACACCTCGATCTCCCTTTTCGTTTTTTTCTATCCGTGGCTCTGTAGTCACAACAGGAGGTGAAACTTCCAGGTGTAAATTCGACTTTAATTCACGAAAGGAATTAGCCGAAGGAGCACCACTACCGGGTATTCTCCTTTCTTCTCTTAAATTCGGGTCCGAAGCGCCATCCGGATGCCTCAGAGACGCTATCCGCGCATCGGTTATGTCATTTCCTCGATATCTCTCAAACGGACCGTAACAATCATTATGAGTAACATCTAAATCTTGATATGCATCACAGTCTCCAACAGCGCTGCCTGGTCTAGACATAGATCTCCTACAACTATCACATATTTTATCACTAGGCCGGTATGCGGGTTCACTATACACAGAACCGTCTCCGTGATACTCTTCCGTATCACGGACATTTGAAAGAGATAATGATTGAAATTGCGGTGCTATTCTTGATACAGGCATATCACTATTTTCTAACATTCTCCTAGAGCCATACAGTTCAGTTAAGCCTATAAGCTCGTCAATCCTTGATCTCGATGATTGTAAGCTTTGATGGGGATTTATGTCACCCATTGGCTCACACATAAAATTTTCTCCATAAAAACCCATGGTTTGTCTAAGATATGCCTCGTTCCTTATCTGACGTTCTACTTCACTATACAAAGATAGAGTGTCTGTAAACGTTGAAGCGACAGTTAAATTTTCTTGACTTAAAATCCTAAGTGGATGATCATCATCTTCTTGATCAACTTCAGGTAAAGGATTTTCAGAGAAACCCATACAAAATGCAATGTCTTCTTCAGTAACTTGAAGGCAGCAGTCTTGCATGGGGACAGGTTCCAGCGGTTCCTCAACTTCAATTATTTCTAGGATTTCATCTTCATCATCCGCTGGACCTTTGCTTAAACCAAGATGGTCCAGGTCTCTACTGTGATTTGAAAGGAGTTCGTCATCCATTCTCAGCCTTTCTTTATATTTGCTGTCTAAGCTTTCCATTGATACTTCTCTGCTGCTTAAGCTACTCGGTTGTATCAAAGGCAATGCTGGTGGAATTTCTGCTGATTCTTCACTGTCATCATCTTCTTCTGGTTCATTTTTGTTTGATGATTTTGAAGTGCTATTTCGTTTTGAATCATTTGAAGGAGGAACATTTTCTTCTTCAATTGCCATTCCTTTTGAACCAGCTTTTAAGCCAGTCCTTATAGTAGACTCTTCAACATGTACTCGCCTTACAGTATCTCTAATAACAGGTTCCATTCTATGTGATGTTTCTGGCTCATCGGGCAATCGAGGGTCTTTGTGAACTTTATGGCTTGGAGAATTATGTCTAGATTTATGTATTTGTGATGTTTGGTTTTCAACCCATTTCCGTATCATGTTCTTCTTGTGATTATCCATGTATCCATAGCCTAAAGCTTCATTTCCATGGGATCCTAGTACCCCAATTTGGAGAGGTATAGGACTAGGCTGTATTGGCTGAGGCTCAAATTGTGATGGAAGCTTTGGTTCTTGCATAGGCCCGTCAATCCAAGTTTCTCGTTTTTTGCTTTGAGTTTCCTTGATTATGTGTCGTGCCTCTACTAACTTGGATTTTGATATTCTAGGCCCATCAATCCATTGTTCATCGCTTGTGCTTTTGCCTTCCTCAGAAAACTGTTTAGAACAAGCTTTTTTCAAAGGCGTTGTCTTCGATGTCACTGAATGAACCGGAGATGCTTTAGGGGTATGACTTGGCATTGCAGTTTTTAAGGGCGAGGCTTTAGGTGATCCATGTAATTTATGCACTGGACTTTTTTCTTCAATAACTTTTGAAAGGGACGATTTGTGTTTTTGTTCTGCTGCTGAGCCTCTTAAAGCTTTACTTAGTACACATCGATTGTCACCAGAGTTAATATGGGGTATATAAACTGGAGGATGCTCTCCATCTGTGGCATCATCCATGGGACCTACGTAGATGACAGTGTCTGCTGATAAGTCACTACTAGAGGGATCAGGCTCACTACTGCTTGGCTTGGAAGCGTCTTCTCCCGAGCTTCCTCCAGATCCAGCGTTATTATTTGAAGAATACTTAACTTTCCGTCGCCGCAGCCTGTGTATTCTCGACGCTAACTGCAGTGTTGTCAATGTGTCCGAGTAATTTTGTGTGTTTGGCGATACGTGGACTATCATAGCTGTGTGACAGGTTAGAGACCCGAGGCATTCTTTTAAGACGTGCGTTAGGTTGTGATCTCTGTAAGGCAAGTGTCTTTGACCGTTGAATATAGCTAATAATATATTTCCTAAGCCTGATAAGGGGATTCCACCATTTGTTTTTCCTCGTTCCGAGTTTCCTAAGTCGATAAGATGGAGACGGCTCCGCCCTCCGGCAACTGTAAACAAACGGATGATTCTTAATTGGTTTACCCCAATTCTTGGGAAGGAGACTAATATTTGTAGTAGCTAATCAAACAGTCTTTGCGAGTGGAGTTGGAATAGTGCAAGTTTATTAATAGCAAATAAACTTTAGTTTTATGAAAACTTAACTGAAAATTAATGTTGCTTATAATTTTTGAAGAATGACATTAAGGGACAAAAACAAGTTATAGTAGAAAGACAGTGAACAATTAGAAAATCTTCTTAATTTTAAGAACCCCTTTTAAGAGTTTTTAGATAAGACGCAATTAAGTTTTCACTTTTCCTTTTTGGTAGATACTTTTAGATACTTAAAATATTAAGCTCCTAGCACTTCACCGGTATAGATTATGAACAGTAAAAATATGAAGAGGAAAATAAAATAAGATAAATACCAGCGCCTTTTCCTCCCACGCTGTACTGGTACACATGCAGGGTGTACAGCAGGTGACTGTCCTTGCCCTCTTCCCTCTGCCCTCTCGTGGCCAGGGCTGCATCCAGGTAGAAGGCAGCCTTCTCTGCGCTATGCACGCGCAGCTCGGACTGGTTCTGAAGGTGGGTGCCGAAGAGCGGGTCGTCTCGGAGGTATACCCCTGGTGACTGCTCTGTGTCTGTGGGCGATTGAGAATACTTGAATGCACAAGACTAGAAGTTTTGACGATATTGCTGTTATAACGCCAGTCAAATGAAAATATAGATTTTTCACATAAAATGATCAGCTCAACGTTTGTATACTACAGCATTATCTGGGATATCATCATCATGTAAGCCTTCCTCAAGGAAGCTGTGGCCAGCCTTCTTATTAAGAAGTGAAATAAAAATTCTAGGGCACTTAAACATTATGATTGTTGCTCCATCGAGCAGGTGGCCGTCGTACATTAAATAAGTATGTGTGCCGTGACACAGTTTCCTTTGAGAACCCGTTCCACCTTTCGTTGGATCTCCGTCAGATATGACCAGCCTACTGTCAATTTAGTTTGCTACATTTTAGAGTTTGATTTTCTGTTGAATGTCTGATATATGTACAAGGTGATGTTCTATATCCACGTACCATTATGGTACGGCGCCAGCAAGTCCCTGATCTGATTGGTGTTCGTGCACAGCTCCACAGCGGACACCCGGACAGAGAACCGGGTCCCGCACTTGTGGCGTTGCTCCGCGATGCCACGGAACAGCCACGAGATAGCGCATGGGATCGCGCCCAGGGATGCCGTGGCGTCCGGTCGCCCCAACATTGTGTAGGATTTACCTGATGAAAGAGCAAATTTAGTTTAGGCATTGGGGCTATTCCTAACTCTCCTTCCTACAGTTGCAAGTCCAGGAACTCTAAATTTAAGCAAGAAGAAGTCATCAGGTAAAAGTTAGGTACTAAGCAAGAAAAATAGCTCTCGTTCACACAGCTGCAAGTACTGTGTAGTCAGGGTTTACAGTTTGACCGCCTATAAAACTTCACCGAGGGAAAACCAAGTCTCAGATCAAAGTTAAACCATTCCATTGGACTTACAACGAAAATATGAAAATAGTCATTTAAGTTATGTATTGGGCAAGCAATGGGACTATTCTCAACTCTCGTTCATACTGCTGCAAGTCCTGTGTGGCCAGCAGCTACTACTTGATCACCAATAAAACTCGCAAGTTTGTCTCAAGGGGAAAGTGAAGCTGTCATTGAACCCGCAACAAAATTGGCATTATATTATATTAGGCTGAGTTGCACCATCGAACTTTAACCGTTACTAAAACGATAACCGGCGTATTTTGTATGGAGTTTGACAGATTTTTGACGTTTGTTAAAGTTAAAAGAAGATGATGCAACCCAGCCTTAGATAATCTTACTAGACTCTTTATGGGACGTTAGGGGCAGGGAAATATATTCTATGTCACGTAGATACTTCGTTATATTCTATCAGAATTCCAACCTCTCAATTAGAATAAAAACAGATTTATTACAAAGTGAATTAATAAAAGTGTGCAAATCCCTTTCGCGGGAGAAATTAAAACACCTCGAGTTAGTTTCCCGGCAAGGATCCGGTAATAATTAAAACTTGGTTCGAATTATTCAGTCGCTTGGTTCAACCACGGTGCCATAATGCTGTCGTTTCACCTCTGATGCAGAACGAATGCGATAAAAGAAAAAAATACGAATGAACGAACGAAATGAACGAAATTTTACCAATAGGTACTTTTATGGAGCTGGTTTGTTATGAAAGTGAAGTGTTTGCTTTTTGAATTCTTCTTTTTCGCAATCTAATATTTAAGGACAACGACAAAATAAATTACTTTCAACACCGAGAAGAATTCTATATTATCTTGCTGTTACGAGTAACAATTGGAGATTGATTCCTTTCAAAAAGTTACTTTACCCCCTTTCAGATTGTAATGTTTTTTCAAATCATGTGTATTGTTATTCTATTTATTTTATGGCGTCTTTTGTAAGTACGTATATTATCCAAAATGTAAATTTTTTGCACCGCCTTACTCTCTCTGCATGACTCGTGGTCGACTGCCAGAGAATGCCATCCGGCATTAAGTTTACCACAGTGCATTGTATGTATGTGCAGAAGTTTAAATAAAAATTAAATATTATTTCTTATTCTTCTTCTTCGTCCCTCACTGATGAGGATCGCGACCACTTATAGTGTTCCTCCACAGACTGCGGTCTTAAGCTGATATATCATACCATAACCATAAACATAGATTTATCTTGCAGTGGATTCTATCTTAACAAAGATGTTGCTAAGCTCGGTTTTAGTGGGATTTCGGAGGCGTTCCGAAGTTTCGCCGAGCGGGGCTTTCATTCAATTTGCATTTTAACTCATAATCCTTGAGTGCGAGCGAGATATAATGTCGGGAAGATGAGTTAAATGTGGAATTTTCAATTCAAATTAGCCAAATTTTGTTTCACAGATCATCTCAATCTTTCCTAATCTAATTATTTTTTAGAATTAACTTTCGTATTCTTATTTAATTAAATAAATTGCATTACTTCCTATTGTAATAAGACAACACAAAATGTCTTGTAAACTAAGCAAACCTAAGGAAAATACCCTCTGTGGTCTAGTGGTAAGACCACCTGCTTCAGACGCAGAGGTCCCGGGTTCGATTCCCAGTGGGGGCAGATTTTTCTGTTCGGTTTGGTTGGTGGTAGGGCTTGNTAATTTTTCAAGAATGACATTAAGGGATAAAAACAAGTTATAGTAGAAAGACAGTGAATAATTAGAAAATCTTCTTAATTTTAAGAACCCCTTTTAAGAGTTTTTAGATAAGACGCAATTAAGTTTTCACTTTTCCTTTTTGGTAGATACTTTTAGATACTTAAAATATTAAGCTCCTAGCACTTCACCGGTATAGATTATGAATGAACAGTAAAAATATGAAGAGGAAAATAAAATAAGATAAATACCAGCGCCTTTTCCTCCCACGCTGTACTGGTACACATGCAGGGTGTACAGCAGGTGACTGTCCTTGCCCTCTTCCCTCTGCCCCCTCGTGGCCAGGGCTGCATCCAGGTAGAAGGCCGCTTTCTCTGCGCTGTGCACACGCAGCTCGGACTGGTTCTGAAGGTGGGTGCCGAAGAGCGGGTCGTCTCGGAGGTACACCCCTGGCGACTGCTCTGTGTCTGTGGGCGATTGAGAATACTTGAATGCACAAGACTAGAAGTTTTGACGATATTGGCTGGTTTTAGTGTCACGCGGACCGTCCGGTGCGGACCCACTCCGCACGGCCAATGTGTATGAACTTCTAGGGAGCGTTTTAGAGTAATGCGGTCCGGAGGAACCGCTCCGCACCCTAGCAGTTCATAAAGATCGGCTGTGCGGAGCGATCCGCACTGACAGTCCGCGTGACACTAAAACCAGCCATTGCTGTTATAAAATCAGTCAAATGAAAATATGGACAGCTCAACGTTTGGATGCTATAGCATTATCTGGGATATCTTCATCATTTTAGTAGTCCATTTCTAAATGTAAGCCTTCCTCAAGGAAGCTGTTGCCAGCCGTATTATGACTGTTGCTCCATCGAGCAGGTGGCCGTCGTACATTACATGAGTATGTGTGCCGTGATCCAGTTTCCTTTAAGAACCCGTTCCACCTTTCGTTTGGTCTCTGTCAGATATGACTAGACTACTGTCAATTCAGTTTGCTACATTTTGGAGTTTGATTTTCTGCTGAATGTCTGATTTACAAGGCGAAGTTCTATATCCACTTACCGTTCTGATACGGCGCCAGCAAGTCCCTGATCTGGTTGGTGTTCGTGCACAGCTCCACAGCGGACACCCGGACGGAGAACCGGGTCCCGCACTTGTGGCGTTGCTCCGCGATGCCACGGAACAGCCACGAGATGGCGCATGGGATCGCGCCCAGGGATGCCGTGGCGTCCGGTCGCCCCAACATTGTGTAGGATTTACCTGATGAAAGAACATTTACATTAGGCATTGGGCAATGGGACTATTTCCAAGTATCGTTCTTACAGATGCAACTCCAAAAAAGTTGTCATTGGACCCGCAACGGAATTTAAAAGTCAAACAATGGGACTATTTTCAACTTTCGTTTTCACAGTTACGACGAGTATAAGTCCTGTGTAGCCAGGATTTTTACAGTTGACTGCTAAAAACTCCAACAAGGGGAAAACTAATTCGGTCTCAGATCAAAGTTAAACTTCTATTGGACTTAAACGAAAATATGATAATAGTCATTTAAGTTAAGTATTGGGCAAGCAATGGGACTATTCTCAACTCTCGTTCATACTGCTGCAAGTCCTGTGTGGCCTGGAGCTGCTTGACCAACAATAAAACTCGCAAATAGGTAAGACCAAGTTTGTCTCAAGGGGAAAGTGTGTCGTTGGGCCCGCAACGAAATTGGCATTTGGCAATTCAGATACTAAGAAACTCTTACTTATTATGACTAGAGTTTTAGGAAGGTTAGGAGAGGCAGGGAAAATACAGTCTGTCATGGAGATACTTCGAGATATTATATCTTTCAGAATTCCAACCCCTCAATTAGAATAAAAACAGATTGATTACAAAGTGAATTAATAAAAGTGTGCAAATCCCTTTCGCGGGAGAAATTAAAACACCTCGAGTTAGTTTCCCGGCAAGGATCCGGTAATAATTAAAACTTGGTTCGAATTATTCAGTCGCTTGGTTCAACCACGGTGCGATAATGCTGCCGGTCCTCCTCTAATGCAGAACGAATGCGATAAAAGAAAAAAATGTCTAAAGCCCGGTCTCCGAGCACGTAGAATTTTGTCCAATGACCGCGCGAGCGATAAGGATGGGTAGCTTGGGGCCATTGGATAGGGGCGAAATTCTACGTGCTCGGCGACCAGACTATAAGTAAAGACGAATGAACGAGATGCTACCTATAGGACTGGAGCTGATTTGTTATTGGATATTGAAAGTGGCGTGTTTTCTTCATGAATTCTTCTTTTTCGCAATCTAGTATTTAAGGAAAACGACAAAATAAATAACTTTCAACACTGAGAAGAACTCTATATTATCTTGCTGTAACGAGTTCATTTTTAAGTTGATTTATTCCCTTTTAGATTGTAATGTTTTTTCAAATCATATTGTGTATTATTATTCTATATTTATGGCATCTTTTATAAGTAGGTATATTATCCAAAATGTAATTTTTTTGCACCGCCTTACTCTCTCTGCATGACTCGTGGTCGACTGGCAGAGAATGCCATCCGGCATTAAGTTTACCACAGTGCATTGTATGTATGTGCAGAAGTTTAAATAAAAAATAAATATTATTTCTTATTCTTCTTCTTCGTCCCTCACTGATGAGGATCGCGACCACGTATAGTGTTCCTCCACAGACTGCGGTCTTAAAAGCTGATATATCATACCATAACCATAAACATAGATTTATCTTGCAGTGGATTCTGTCTTAACAAAGATGTTGCTAAGCTCGGTTTTAGTGGGATTTCGGAGGCGTTCCGAAGTTTCGCCGAGCAGGGCTTTCATTCAATTTGCATTTCAACTCATAATCCTTGAGTGCGAGTGAGATATTATGTCGGGAAGATGAGTTAAATATGGAATTTTCAATTCAAATTGGTCTAATTTTGTTTCACAGATCATCTTAATCTTTCCTAATCTTTAATTTATTTTTTAAGATTAAGTTTAAATCGTATTTAATTAAATAAATTGCATTACTTCCTATTGTAATAAGACAACACAAACTGTCTTGTAAACTAAGCAAACCTAAGGAAAATCGTATACTGCGAATTTGAAAACATGGTTTTATGAAACACATGTAAGGTGTTTTGCTCATGGTTTGTTTTATTTCAAAAGTGATTATTGCATGCATGGGGGTTACACTGGCATCGAATTCAAATATCTACCAAAAAAATACAAATTACATTTTGCATGTTTCGTTAACCATCTTCCGTTTTTACCTTGTATTTTAAACAACTGTCCTCATGGTTGTCTGGAAGAGACCGCTTTATGGCGATAAGACCGCCTAAATTGCGCCATGTCTTTTACAGTTTATTTCTTTTTTTTTCTTGTGTGGTGCACAACAAAGTGTGTATAATAATCTATTTACCTATATTTGTGACCAGACAGGTTACATAGCCAATGTAGAGCCTATTAAATACTTAACTTCTTATAATGAATATACAGGGTGGAATTTTGTAATGCCACCTGGAGGGAAAGTACTCTTAATACTGTAGATACAAAATTTAACTGAAAGAAAACATTCCTTTATTTTTGAAAAGAAAGAGAACTGCATCCAAAGTTTTTCAACAATTTTTCGAAAATTCACAACCGTACCATACAATTTTCTGTACATCATTAAAATAATTTAAGATTTCATGGTATTCCTTTCATTTGATTTATCAAGTTTGTTAGAGAGATTTCATCCTTATACTTAACCCTAACGATCGATGCAATAAAAATACAGGGTGTAATTTTTAACAGATTTTAGTTGGTTCGATTCCCGGGTGTGGTAAGCAAATTTTTGGAATTTTTTGAATGCAGTTCTATTTCTCTTCAAAAAAACCGGCCAAGTGCGAGTCGGGCTCGCGCACAAAGGGTTCCGTAGCAGCAAATATAATAAACTTATTATGTCAATTTATACACCTGGTGAATGGAGCCTAAACTCTCCCGATATTTTGCCTTGTACTTTTATGTATGAATATTAATTTTATATATGTATTTATAAATATTCCGAGCTAAAGAGGTGGCAAAAGCAATGGCAAACAAACCACAATCAATAGTATTCGGTTGTCGCTGAACACTTGGAAACTGAATACATGACTCCGATAGATACGGAAACAAGGCTTTTACATATATTTTTTGCGATTTTCCTAGAACACCAACAAGACTATCGTACACACGCAGTATTCCATTAATGTAATAAATACAACTCCAGTGCCCCACTAATCCCACGTCACCGTCATAAATTACTTGAAGGTGCGTCTCATTTTTAGGTACAGGTTCAATCAGTTCAGGGTGTTGAAATAATTCTAGCTCACGCGGTCTAAATGATGTGCACCGAAGTAACTTTTCATGAAATGCGCGAACCACATCATCTTCGATATAGTTATTATAATTCAGAATGTAGGAAAACGTATTATCTAAAGTATCCATTGTTAGATGATATACAATAAGCTTTAGAAATTTTAAAAACCTGCTACGAAACACTAAAATTTGCACCAAAAACAAAGGAATTTATATTATTGGGGGATTTATTAGTACGTGACCGGTTTAATAGCACCTATTAAACCAGTATACCTACTTACTTATTTTTTATAATAGGTACAATTCAATATTAAAAAGTCTCAACGCCAAATTCGACTTGCGAAAGAAGTAAATGGGAACGATGAAATTCTCTTAGCGCGCACAAGTGACAACGACGTCTGCCCTCACGTGTCTGCCCGTTCGGGTCGACGCGGTTAGCTATCTTATCCCCGCTCCCGCGCGAGACCACGCCCCGCAACTCACGCGCTGCAGCGCAGCGAGCGACCGATCTTCTTGAATCGATGTAATAATAATCTATAGGATTAACGCGTTTTAAAAATATTGGTTCGATGGATATGTTTAACCTATTATTACTCAACAATCACATTTGTAATATTAAACTTTATCAAATGCACAATGTATTTAAGGTACATTACTGGATAAGGATTAATGGCGTATTGCTTGAATAAGCTAATATTTCTCGTAAAAAGTACCTACATTATAAAGATTTTATATCATCGCGGATTTTAAAAGGTGTACAATACTGTAGTATATTTTTTGATCTATCTTATAAGGTTCAGCCATCGTTTTCAGTGTAAGCACAATAACTTAACCAAAATTACAGTTAAATCAACCTATCTCAAAAACTATAAGAGATACTTTGATCAAACCAAAAATCGTTGAAAGAGTTAATTAGCATGCATCACCTCTATTTTTTTTAGAATTTTATACCCCGTAGTTATAAAAATAGAGGGGGGGGGACATACTTTTTACGACTTTGAGAGCTGATATCTCAAAAACCGTTCACTTTAAGAAAAATGTTTTTTAGAAAACTTTATATCATTTTAAAAGACCTTTCCATTGATACCCCACACGGGTATGTACATCGAAAAAAAAATTTTCATCCCTCAGTTACATGTATGGGGGGCCCCACCCCCAATTCTTTTTTTTACTATTTAGTGTCATAATTTTGTAGCGGTTCATACAACACATATTCCCATCAAATTTCATCACTGTAGTACTTATAGTTTCCGAGTAAATCGGCTGTGACAGACGGACAGACGGACAGACGGACAGACGGACAGACGGACAGACGGACATGACGAAACTATAAGGGTTCCGTTTTTGCCATTTTGGCTACGGAACCCTAATAAAGGAATGTTTTCTTTGAGAGAAATTTTCTATCTACAATATTAAGAGTACTTTCCCTCCAGGTGGCATTAAAAAATTCCACCCTGTATGCTGATCCTTTGCATTACATCATCACGCGTTATTAAAGCTAAAACTCCCATAAGCTAATGAGTACCGGTGTTTACGGGACCTCTCACCTCTATTTATCAAAGTTTCAATTAAGAGCTCCCGACTCTTTCCCATTTCGATGCAAATTCTCTACGGAGAGAACTTTCTCCATATTTTATAGTGCCCGCTAAGTACTGGCCCGACTCGCAGCGTTTGTACTAACAAAGTTCGGGTTATCGGGATTTTCATTAGCACGTCTGGATAACTCATTAAGACTTGATTATCTCAGTCTTTGCATCGTAAAACTAACTAAGCTTTTTATTGTCTCCGAGGAGTTGGTTTTATTACGCGCTAAGAACACGCCTTTGATTCTATTCCTATTTGGTTTATGATATCTTGAGAAATTTGAGTTTATATGCTTTTTTCTTAGAAGTACTTTGCCAAATAGGTTGAGTTTCGCAATGGTATTTGAGACCAGCAATGAACTTAATTAACTGAACTGACATAACACTTTTTACGAGGTGGCAAAATCTGTTACCCATTTGATGATACGGTACATCCTTTCACTAGAAGCTCAATAAGCATTGAAAACAGAATGATTGCAAATCAAGCTACATCACATGATAGGGGTAGGTACATGGGTTGAGAAAATTTCTACAGAAATAGGCTTCGTTCGTTCGTTTCAGCCAAACGTCCATTGCTGAACAAAGGCGTCCTTCAAGGATTTCTACATCGACCAGTCTTCCAGAGCATACAGGACCAGTCCTGTGCTGCCCACATCCAGTCAGGGTAAGAAAGAGGCCATCTCTCTTAGTCTATAGCAGGGTTTCCCATTTTTTTTTTGCCAAGGAACCCTAATTGATTATACTTTTCCTAGCGGAACCCCCGTACTACTCCGCCCGCACGTCCAGCCCCTCCCTTGTGCGTAAACAAGTCGGTGCGCGCGAACTACGTCGGTCACGAAACGTGGGATAATATTTTTTACGGAACCCATGCGGCCTTTCCACGGAACCCCAGGGTTCCGCGGACCACCTTTCGGGAACCGCTGGTCTATAGCTCTGCAGTAAAATTTTATAGGTTTAGATGATTATTATAGGTGCGCTTTAGTTTACGTAAATACGAGTCCACATGCTTGGACAAATCTCACCGATTTAAACAAGCATAGGAACACCATATTAATTATTTTCAGTTCTTTAACCCCTAATTGCTGTTGCTTTAGTCTCTAATGCATGAAGTTTGTATTTGACAAGTGTCGTTTTTGTAAGTTTTTCTTATGAATGCTACAATGTAACCTTGTTGGTGATCAAATAAATAAATAAACAAATGACTCACCAAGTCCCGCGTGTCCAAAGCAGAAGAGGCAACCGTCCGTCCCGTTGATGACCGCGTGGATCACGTCCGTCAGTGCGCTGGCGCATATCTCGGTCTGTAACAAAAATATTACGTTTTAGTATTGAAATATTGGTTCAAAAGGAAATTTTTACTGGACTGGAAAGTGATTGAATAAATAATGTTCATTTTGTACACATTAAACGCACAAAAGTGGCTGAAAATCATGCTGAAGTTTCTTGCGCTGCAGGTCCATATTATGGTAAACCTTTACACTCACTCACGGCTCACGCTCGCGCATTGTCAAAGTTTTTTTAAATTAGATTCAATATTGCAAATATAACTAGCTAAACTTTTTTGTACCTTATTATAAACAATAATATTATTATTGTCAACAAGAAGGTAAATTGTCGACCTTAAAATGTAGAGTTCATAATCATTTTAAAATTGACTGTACCGATATTACGTCTATTCTGTACTATACTATGCATAGGGCCGCAAAGAGCGAAGCATCCCGCTCGGAATCTTACGAAATAATTCTGTGTAATCTGGCGCTTACAGGTGTTTGCGAGGGGTGCTTTGTGCCCATTAGTTGAAATAACAGCTCTCAGACGCTGCATTTAGTGCTAATACTGCTTGTATTGACGTTTCGGCACTGCTTGGCAATGGTGTGTTAACCAGAATCAGTTATTTGACATTTGCATTCCTCGAAATAAAATTAATATCAGCCACTGCTGATTCAAAGATCTACCTTTGCTGTCTTTTAAAAGACAAATACACGCCTGGCTCTTAACTAAGTGCTATTATTCAGTCAGGGAATACCTCGACGAACAATAGAATTTTAATCAGACTAACGAACAACAATTAATTTTTATTTTTATAGATGACATATTTGATTTGATTTGATAATTTTGTAAGGAATATTTTAATTGGCGACATTTACATTGACATATTCTTAATTATTTGACATTTATATTATTGAATCCTATAATTTTTGCACGTCTGCGATCAGACTAAACACATGATCCTATTTTAATATTGTCACCCTGTATTACTGTGTTTTTTAGCAAATAAACGTTTTGAATTTGAATTTGAATTTGAATTTGCTGCTATGGATCTAGCGCTTAACTCAGTCAGTGATTGAGGTATGGAAGCGGCAAGAGAGGTGACATTGACAATTATGATGTGTCAGAGCATAATCTGAAGGAGATCTCAAATCTCGATGACGTTTCACGTTACAAAAATACCCTTACCCCTGCCGCTCTCATACTGCCCTGACTAAGTTAGAGGCTAGATCATTCTTAATGAAGAGATAAAAACGGTTACTGAGCGTATATGGAGTTATAATAGTAATAAAATGAATTACTAACATACGGCAATCACAAAAGTAGTAACTTTTTTTTTCATTTGCGTGTACCTATTATCAAAATTTTATTCAGTTAACTAACACAACAACAAAATACTACCCTATACCACGGGTCACAGAATAAGCACAGGTAGTTACATATTAAAGCCAATCCAGTCGACACATCCCCCAGAAAATGGCTTCACGGAACCGCACCAAACTAGTTTAAAGCGGAATAAACCGGTGTAATCCGGCTCTTAAGGTGTTGGCCGACGCGGGAGCTGTTTTCTTTCGCGGCATATTATAATTAAACGGACTTACAGGAGGCGCCGAGATTACATGCTGTATGGATACCATAAGTTTGTTTTATAAGGGAATGTCCTTGCATTTATTGTGAAAAGTTTATTTCTCTTAAGGTTTCTTAAAGATTTTCGAGGACTAACAGCTACTCTTCATTTGTTTTGTGTTTGTATTCGAGCTATTTGCGAGTATATCCTGGCCTGAAGGGAGAATAAATTTTGTAGCTTTACTCACAATTAGTCCAAAGAAAATTAAACATCTTTAACTCTTCTTGACTTCCTTTTATATGTAAATATTATTGGTTAATTGTGAGCATTATGGAAAAGTAACATTATAACATTACCCTATTAAGAATGAAAAGAATAATGGACAGCTTGGATTGACCAGTCCCCAAAAAGACGGCCTGTTCACAGACATGTCGAATGAGCCAGCCATAATATTATAACCAACAGTTAACTCTGACGATTGTATTAGAGACCTTGCTCTTTCTCATAATTTCAGAACTTTACTTTTCTACCACCGAAATTACAATATATTTACGTTAATTAGTAGTTTCAATGTTACTACACTAAATTGCATCACATTTTCTTTAATTCCAGTGTGGCTTGTCCGATGCTCGTATCATGGTGTTTCTACTTCCTACAGTGAGGGTTCACGGCACGTTAATACTGAAAATGTTTTGAATGAAAATTTTAATGACCTCTCCCTTTAATTGAGAGCGCTTAGCCGAAGGGCGCTTAATCAATTCCATTATCACGTTCCTAATTTTTACATTGTTATTGTTTTGTCTTAATTACTTCTGAGTATTACGAGTATTGTTTTGAAGTTCTATAATTTGATTTGTTTGGAATATTGATACGGATACGTGATAAGTTCAATTATTTGTAGTTTTGTGAATAGGTATTAGATACTTGGACTATTATTGTTGAGTCGAAGTTTAAATAAATAAATGTGTAAGATACTTATTAAAATTTCATTTAAAAGAGCTATAAAGTTGGAAAGAATTGAAATTAAAATCGTGTCTTATACCTACAATTTATAGTAACAGTTCTTATTTCGTCTTCAGCAGAAGAAGATTAGTCGTAAGACTAATAATTGAAAATATTACTTACATGGGTTCGGTAATGTTCTTCAAACAATTTTTTTCATTGATGTTTCTCCTGATAACCTACTTTCCTATTCTATAACCACCCTGTATGTTAATATTTTAGGGTGCCAGCATCAGATACATTCGCCAGAGGGACTGACGAGGGCTATCTGATCGGGCGCTCAAACGCGAAGATAGGACTGACCGAAAAGCGGGCTCTCTGGGCTGTAGATGTAGAATATACTGAATTCCGAAACTTAGCCAGTTGAACGAACTTCAAACAAAAATGAAGCTGTGGTATGGGTAAAATTACGTGTATATTGGGACACGTTTTGAAAGCACAAATTGTAGCACAGCAAAACAAAAAATATCACTATAGTGGTGTATAATTCGTTGTCAAAGAACCTATACCCAGTTCTTCCTTCTTTGTAAAAAGAAAGTGTAACTCTACACTACAGTAATAAATAGGTACAAGAATTTTTAAAATAAATAATATATAAAGCTCGATTTTTTAAAATAAATTTGTAAAGTTCTGTACTAAAAAGCTTTATAAAACTTTAGTAAAATCCGAGAGATTATTAAATTGGGAGAAAAACAGTATTTGCGGCATGGAATCTGGTTGATGATCCGGCAATAATTTATTGGATTAGAGGACCCCTCCCACCAAATGTTTCACGCTGCTGTCTATTACTATGCACTCGGTCATAATTATCGCCTTCTGTGTGTAAAAATGATAGAAGATGTGGTGTTGCCTGTACATATTGATGATAGTTTTGGACCACAAGATTGAACCTTCTATCGATTATAATGCATAAAAAATGCTGTCCCTAAGATAGACGAACAACAGACAGCGCGTGGTATTCACTTACATACGGACTCTTTCCGTAGTAACGGAGTCCTAAAAACGACAAGGTCTTACTTGGCCAGTGTTTTTTTATCCACAACGAGGAAGCTCTTGGCCTGTATCTCACCTGATGGTAAGTGATAATCATGCCGAAGGTGGAAGCGAGCTTCACCCGGAATCCTATCTTACTTCTAACGGTCGGAACACAACAATGCTGTTAACATTGTTTGTTATGGCGACAGACTAAGGTAAGATGGTGGAAGCTAGCCAGGCGGGCTTAGAACAAGCCCTACCAACAAAAAAAAACCGAACAAAAAAAATCTGCCCCCACTGGGAATCGAACCCGGGACCTCTGCGTCTGAAGCAGGTGGTCTTACCACTAGACCACAGAGGCGGTTGTTCTGTTAACTGCTGCTGTGTTTAACCTATCGTCCGTGAGCATTATGAGGACCCGGAACCTTCTAGGGACTATTTTAACAATCGTAGATAAATGCTACCAAAAGTAGCAAAAACTTTCGATTATGAGGAAATTTATTGCTGCTTTTTATTAAACGGGACTATTCCCACCTCTCGTTCCCACCACTCTCACCACAACTCCTGTGTAGCCAGAATCTACAGCTTGACCGCCATAAAAACCCAACCAATGAAGGTCAAGTTTGTCCCGGGGGAAAGTTAAACTGTCATTGGACCAGCAACTAAATTAATCGGAATAACATGGGAGGAGTTCGAAATTAAGGTTCGACTGCTTTTTATTATGAGGGTCCTTAAAATTGTGCTTGATTTCTTAAGGGGTCCGTGGACAAAAAAGGTTCAGATACGCTATAGTAGGTCAACCTTAGGCCTCCAGACAGGCCCTAAGCGTCACTAGGAGCCCTAAGCAGCCACAAATCAAGCTGATCCCATCGGCGCGCACGTCGCGCCGCCGATCAGCAGTCCCATTAATATACTGTAATCCCCATTATCTACTGGTTCATGGGGTAGGACAACGAGAACGGCCAGTTTATATTGTTGAATATGCGGTAGAAATATTATTGTCAATAGGAATTTCGTTTCAGCCAAATGACGTCCACTGCTGGACAAAGGCCTCCCCCAAGGAATTTACTGGTAAACAAATTAAAAAACGAAAACTATTCATACCTAAGGGCTATATTTCACCGGGACACCATGGCGGCGCAACCAGTCGCCGGTTACCAACAAAATGTATACAGCTCTATAGAGAGTTATTACTCACCTGGTGTCCGTTTGGTAGCGCAAAGCTGCATACATTTTGTTGGTAGCGACTGGTTGCGCCGCCATGGTGTCCCGGTGAAATATAGCCCTAAGTACTTATTACTATTAGCATTTTAATAAAATTTTTATGTTTCTAGTGAACTACTCTACAATTAAAACACAGGACTAATGCTAAATGCTTGTTAATGCAGTTCATATTATCTCAAGTTAAATGAAGACAAGACACAAAAGCCTATCTCAAAAATCTACATCAGTGAATTAAATTAAGAATAAAATTGTTCGCAATTTACT